GGCGGGGCAGGGCGGCCGAGGCGGCTGAGGGCCGAGGTAAGCGCGACGGGTGGCGGGGGCGCGGCCGAACCGAGGCCCGGAGGTTGGAGGAGAACTACGTCCGAGGAGCTGGATTGGGGGGCGCGGGGGGCGCCGAGGACCCAGGGGAGAGGGCACCCCCTGTGCGCGCGCTGTTGCTCTTGGGGGGGCACCTCAGTCCTTAGGTGTCGGGGTCCTGCCCCGCGTCGCTGTGGGGCGGGAGGGGGGAGGGGGGGTGTGGAGAACCTTCCTCCTGACAGGGGCCGTTTGGGTGTTTATGGCGTCACGCCCGGGCCTTAGAGAATTCCAGCTTGAAAAGGAGCCCTGACCGGTGTGCTCAGTGGATAGAGCGTCGGCCTGCGGACTGAAGGGTCCCGGGTTCGATTCCCGGTCGGGGCACTTGCCCGGGTTGTGGGCTCGATCCCCAGTGTGGGGTGTGCAGGAGGCAGCCGACTATGATCCTCTCTCATCAGGGATCTTTCTCTCTCCCTCTCCCCTCCTCCCTGAAATCAATTAAATAGGATAAACAACTAGCCTGCTCTCTTTGGTCAGACATGTAATTAACTCACCCCAATACTTTGGCAGGGCCTTCCGCGCCCCAGGGCTGGACATTCCCCATCGCTGTCCTAAATGAAGGAAAATATCCCCGCCTCTCTCCCCCACCCAGGGAGCACAGCGAGGGGGAAGGAGTGCTGCCCAGTGCTGTCCCCTGGGCCTGATAACATCCTGAATGTAGCCCTAGCCGGTGTTGCTCAGTGGATAGAGCGTCGGCGGGGACTGAGGAAGGGTCCCGGGTTCGATTCCGGTCAAGGGCATGTACCTTGGTTGCGGGCACATCCCCAGTAGGGAGTGTGCAGGAGGCAGCTGATCGATGTTTCTCTCTCATCGATATTTCTAGCTCTCTATCCCACTCCCTTCCTCTCTGTAAAAAATCAATCCTATATCTTAATAGCCTAAATGTTAAGTGTCTGGTCATCGCTTCAACCAATCAAAGCATAATATGCTATGACGTGCACTGACCACCAGGGGGCAGATGCTCCAAAGGGTAGGTTAGCTTGCCGCTGGGGTCTGGCCAATTGGAACTGAGCTGGGCCGGGCTTGCCCTGGAGCCCTCCCGCAGTCATTCCCTGGCCCCAGTCATGCACCAGTGGGGTCCCTCGCCTGGCCTGCACCCTCTCATAACCTGGGACCCCTGGGGGGTTGTTGGAGAGCTGGTTTCAGCCCAATCCCCGAGGCCAGGCCAAGGGACCCCACTGGTGCATGAATTCGTGCACGGGGCCTCTAGTAAAATATATTAAAAAAAAATTCCCGAATGTCAACTGTCACTGAAAAGTCAGATTTAAAAACAGAGAAGTGCTGCTCACAGCCGAGTGCTCTGCTGCTTTTCGCTGCATGTGTGGTGGTAGCTGATGGTCGGTGCATGCGCGCTGTGGGGGAGACAGTTCTGAGGCTCTGGGATGGGTGCTAACCCCAAACCTCAGAACAGGGTGATGCGGAAACTGCCTTGTCTCCCCTCACAGGCGAGGACACTGAAGCCTGAGAGAGGACAAGTAACCGCTTCCAGGAGGAGCCAGGCTTCGGGCCCAGGGTCCGCAGACTCCAGAGGCCCCGTTGCACTGGTTCTCAGGCAGTCCCCTCCACCAGGGCTGGAGGTGGGTGCTCTTAAACACTTTTTTAACACAGTTTCTTCTTGTATGTTATTTCTTTATTATTGTACTAGAGGCCTGGGGCACCAATTCGTGCATGGGTGGAGTCCCTTGGCCTAGCCAGCAATCAGGGTAATTAGGGCCTTCTCACCCAGTCCCGATCAGGCCAAGGGGCTGGGGAGGGACCGAGGAAGGGCTCCAGGGCATGTCCGACCCCGTCTGACCCAGTCCCAATTGGTGGACCCCAGCAGCAAGCTAACCTACCGGTTGGAGCGTCTGCCCCCTGGTGGTCAGTGCGCATCATAGGGACTGGTCAAGCGGTAAACCGAACAGTTGACCGATCGGTGGGACACTTAGCACGTTATGCTTTTATTATATAGGATTATTTCCTTTCTTTCTTTCTTTCTTTCTTTCTTTCTTTCTTTCTTTCTTTCTTTCTTTCTTTCTTTTTCCTTTCCTTTCTTTCCTCCTTTCCCTTTTTTAGAGAGAGTGGAAGAGAGGTAAAGAGAGAGAGAAATATTGATGTGAGAGAAACACATCGGTTGGTTGTCTCCAACCAGGGCCTGGGCTGCCCTTGACCAGAATCAAACCCAGGACCCTTCAGTCCACAGGCATTATGCACTGAGCCAAACTCTTAAACACTTTCTGACCAATGAAGAAACCAATTCTGAGATCGGTTTGATAGCTTTAAGAGTTCAGATCCCCAAACCTCCACTGAGCTAGTTATTTATTTATTTATTTATTTATTTATTTATTTATTTAATTTTGAGAGAGAGAGAGAGAGAGAAAACAATTGATGTGTTGTCTTACTTATTTATGCATTCTTTGGTTGACTTCCTGTATGTGCCCCAATGGGGTATCAATCCCACAACATTGGTGTATTGGGACAGTGCTCTAACCAACTGAGCTACCTGGCCAGGGCCTCACTTTTTTCCCTGGGCCCTAGATTTTCTGACCCAGTTTCTCTTACATAAAATGGAGATGAGCCCTGGCTGGTGTGGTTTAGTTGGTTGGGGGCCGTCCTGTGCACCAAAAGGTTGCTGGTTTGACTCCTCTTCAGGGCACCTGCCCAGGTTGCAGGCTCTATCCCCAGTAGGGGATGTGCAGGAGGAAGTCGATCGATGGTGCACTCTCATCATTGATGTTTTTCTTTCTCCCTCTCCCTTCTTCTCTCTCTATCTAACAATCAATAAAAACATTTTTAAAAAATATATATTTTATTGATTTTTTTTACAGGGAAGAAGAGAGAGGGATAGAGAGTTAGAAACATTGATGAGAGAGAAACATCTATCGGCTGCCTCCTGCACGCCCCCCACTGGGGATGTGCCCACAACCAAGGTACATGCCTTTGACCTTTAACCTAGAACCTGGGACCTTTCAGTCTGCAGGCCGACGCTCTATCCACGGAGCCAAACAGGTTAGGGCTCAATAAAAACATTTTAAAAATTAACATAAAAAATAATAAAATGGAGATGCTGCTATTACATACCTCATAGGACTGTTATAAGGGTTAAATGAGCCCATACCTGAAAATATGTGGTGTGGCGCCGGCCACGTAGAAAGTGCTCAACAAGTGTTCACTATTTTTTTTTTAATATATTTTATTGATTTTTTACAGAGCGAAAGGGAAAGGAATAGAGACTGAGAAACATCGATCAGCTGCCTCCTGCACACCCCCCACTGGGGATGTGCCTGCAACCAAGGCACAGGTGCACAGGGGGCTGAGTGAGCTCAGCCCACTGGCGCCCTTGACCAGAATCAAACCTGGGACCTTTCAGTCCACAGGCTGACGCTCTATCCACTGAGCCAAACGGGTTAGGGCACGAGTGTTCACTCTTATTATTATCATCGCTAGAGGCCCGGTGCATGGACTCGTGCACTGGTGGGGTCCCTGCGCCTGGCCTGCGCCCTCTCGCAATCCGGGATGTAGTAGTGTATGAAGTGGCAGGCGGTCAGCTAGGAGCCCACGCGGGCTTGGCCTTAGCACTGAGGCAGGAGAGGCTCACACCTCCTTCGCCGTGCTCGCCAGCGGTGAGCCCGACGTCTGGCACCTGTAGGTCAGCTGAGCAGCGCTCCCGCTGTGGGAGTGCACTGACCACCAGGGAGCAGCTCCTGCGTTGAGCATCTGCCCCCTGGTGGTCAGTGCATGCCATAGCAAACGGTCAAATGGTCGCTTAGGGTTTTAGATAAATAGATAATAGATGATAGATAGATAGATGGATAGATAGATAGATAGATAGATAATTATGCTTTCAGAAAACTGTGGAGTTTAGAGGGAAAATACCAGAACTTTTCCTGATAGAGGAAACTCGCCTCAGGGGAGGCAAGGGACTTTTTTTCAAATTATTGTTTGTCACAAAGCAAAATGAGAACCAGGGTCTGCTGACAGTTTTGTCCAATGGCCCGCAAGCCACATAGACTCTTTCTGGGGAAATTGTTTTTTTAAAATATTTTATTTTTTAAAATATATTTTTATTGATTTCAGAGAGGAAGGGAGAAGGGAGAGAGAGACAGAAACATCGATGATGGGAGAGAATCATGGATCATCGCTGCCTCCTGCACGCCCCTCACTGCGGATCAAGCCTGCAACCCGGGCATGTACCCTTGGCCAGAATCGAACCTGGGACCCTTTAGTCCACAGGCCAATGCTCTATCCACTGAGCCAAACCGGCCAGGGCGGGAAATCATTTTTTCAAGTCTCATAGAATCTACACTAATCCTCGCTGGTTAGCTGCCCTGGAGGCGTGTTTCCTGTTATATTCTGGTGTCTACTTGGAAGAATAGCTTGGGCGAGAGGATCAGGCCCACCCAAGTCAGTGACTGGGCTCCGTTATTGACAAGCTGTGAACCTTGTACAAAAGACTTCACGTCCCAGAGCTTTCATGGGTGAACTGGTGACGGCATTTTCTGTTTTCACTGAAGATCATGAAGGTTAAATCGGGAGTGTAAAGATCGGTGCCTCCCAAAATATGCATGCATGCACTTTGAATGATTATAACGGCAGTGTTTATTAAAATACGTTTCATTTTCAGAATTGAGCTTTCTGCTGTAAAGTGTGCATACATTTTGGTGACAACCTTTATATGCAGCCCACCTGATACATTTCTCTTGTTGATGAATGAGTGGCTTTGAGGGGAGGGGGACATAGGTCGAGTTCAGCCTGAAAACCTGAGCAGAGCAGAACCCCAGCTGTACCGTCCTGGTCTCCCAGCGAATGCCTGGGCTGAGGGCAGGGTGGGTGGGAGTGAGAGAATGAAAAGAGGGAGCTGAAGGCAGAGTTTCTGGGCTGCGGTTCTTAGAGCTGCTCCATCTCACTCCTCTTCTCTCCTCCCCCAGCTCTGCGCTCACGGGGTAGAGCCCGTCGAATGAGGAGCCAGGCAAAGGCGGCAATGGGCATTGACCTTCTTACAGCCATGACCCCGGTGAGTTAGCACACCCCCTTCCCCCCTTACAATAATTTTCCTTTCCGGGGTTTGGTCATGTTCGTTTTCTTCTGAAAATTGTCTGCCTCATAGTTAAACCCTGGGGCTTGGTTTCTGTTTCCTCCCTCCCTGATGAGTGTGGGGTCACAGGGTCGGACTCCAACTGCCCCGTGTCTCTGGAAGCCGCCTCTTCTTCCTGTTTGGTGTTCACTCTTCATTGCCCGCGCTCAGCTGTTTGTACGCCATCTGACTGCACAGCATACAGTCCTTAGAGGAATCGGAGAGCTGCCACCTGCCTGGTTCCTATGTGCCCATCTGGCTCTCAGAGAGCCAGCAGCCTGCTGGGGAAATGAAAAGGCAGCAAACATTTATATAAATACTAGAGGCCTGGTGCATGAAAATTCATGCACTGGAGGGGGAGTCCCTCAGCCCTGCCTGCCCACTCTCACAGTCTGGGAACCCTCAGGGGTGGGAGGTGACCTGGTGGTCAGGGGAAGACAACGCCCCATCACACCTCTGCTGCTGCCACTGCCGGCAGCACAAGCCTCAGGTGGCCCTGGTTACCTGAGCCTCAGGCCGGCCCTGGGCAGCTGGGCAGCTAACATCTGAGGTTTACCTGTGCCTCGGGCTGGCCCTGGGGGGCTGGGGGGCTGAGGGCGGGTCGGCTGCGCCTGCCACGCCCCCACTCCTCCCCCACCCCTCTCCACCCCCCAGTGGAGCTGAAAGGACTGGGTGCCACCAGCGTTTGTGATGGTCAATTTGCATATTCCCACTTTATTAGATAGGATGTTTTTATGGGTTTCAGAGAGGAAGGGAAGGGGAGAGAGAGATAGAAACATCAATGATGAGAGAGAATCATGGTTTGCCGCCTCCTGCATGCCCCCTACTGGGGACAGAGCCCGCAACCTGAGCATGTGCCCTTGACTAGGAGTCCAAACCGGGACCCTTCAGTCCACAGGCCAACGCTCTATCCAGTGAGCCAAACCGGCCAGGGCTGGGCACAGTTCTTAACACCTTAAGAACATTAAGATTTCTTAGAATATGTTGTGTAGGTTGAAATTATGTTCGTCAGGTCGGCGTCCTTCCTTCAGACGTTCCCTTGCAGTCCCAGAGCTCTTTAGTTCCTCCATGTAGAAAGGTGATGTAGCTTCGAATATAGATCAGATATTTAATATTTAATGATACTGTTTTTAATGCAGTCGACGTTTTTTATAAATTTCATAGAATTGCTCTAAGAGCAGAGAATGGCTCTCATATATGTTTTTATTTTTCCCAATTTATACACTATAACTGGGCAGAAAAGTTGTCCAGGAACTAACTCCCACTCCTGGGTCAGTTAGACCCCCGTACAATTACTTACACACATTCCCCCCTCTCCCCCCCAGAGTGTGAGCAGCAGAACCCTTTACCCTGGAGCCCCCCGAGTGGGGACGTGAACACCGGTTGAGCAAGACTGCATTTGTGTCGTTTCAGGACGCAATGACTTTCCCAGATGTGGCCATAGACTTCTCCCGGGATGAGTGGGAGTGCCTGAATCGCGCTCAGAGGACTCTGTACAGGAAGGTGATGTTGGAGAACTACAGGACCCTGGTTTCCGTGGGTAAGAGTGCCTGCCTCCCTCACCTCCCCACAGGAATCTTCCCGCCTTGGCTGTCTCTCGCGGCTTTCTCAGCATTTTCCTACCGTGTCCCTCTTCTCTCCGTACCGTCTGGGCTGGGTCATAATTCTGCAATAGCCACAGCATAGCCCGTTTTCTTCTTTTCCTCTATGCAGGTCTTTGCGTGTCTAAGCCAGACGTGATCTCCTTGTTGGAGCAGGGTGAAGAGCCCTGGGTGACGGATGGCGAGATGGCAGGAGGCCTGTGCCCACGTAAGTACAGGATTGCTAGCACTGGGGAAGCTATTCTCAGGATGTTTCTTCTCTCTAAGACTTGTTGGCCAACAACTCTAAAAGCCCCTCTGAAATGGAAACATCTTGTTCTAACTCCATTAAAAAAAAGGTTATTGGAAAAAAAAAAAAGGTTATTGATTTTATGGAGAGAGATGATGCGGGAGGCGGGGGGATCAATTGGTTGTTCCACTTATTTATGAATTAATTGGTTGATTGTTGTATATGCCCTGCCTGGGAATCGAACCTATGACTTTGGTGTATCAGGAAGACACTTTTAACAACTGAGCTACCAAGTCAGGGCCTCTAACTCCGTTTTTTAAGTCGGTCTTCTCCTCCTCACTGGCACGATGTGCCACCTGGACCTTCACTGATCTCCTGCAAATCCCATAGTCTGTGTCTGGACGCTGTTATGTTCCACTTATGTTGACCTCGTGCCATATTGTTACAGTCATTCCTGACAGTCAGCATTTTTGGATTCCTCAGACAAATTTGTGTTCAGTTGTTTAAAACTTTTCCTTTTTTAAAAACGTGTTTATTGGATTAACAGTCATTATAGCTGTGTTCTTCCTTCTACTTTTAATTATTTTTTCTTTCTTGTCCTGTGATTATTTCTTCTTGCTTTGTTGTTTATATATTGTTTTTCTCCTTTCACACCATCCCACCCTGTGAATTGGAAAGGTTTTCAGTCCCACAAGGTGTTACCTTTATGTTTTTATGTATTTTTGAATCTATATTTTATAATTCACATGAGACTCGGAATACCACCTTTTGATACCCACGTGAAAGGTGAACAGATCAGCTCACTAATGTTACCTCCTGCCTCTTTATCTTCTCCCACTTTTTTAAAAAATATATCTTTATTGATTTCAGAAGGAAGGGAGAGGGAAAGGGAGATAGAAACATCAATGATGAGAGAGAATCATTAATTGGCTGCCTCCTACACTTCCCCTACTGGGGATCAAGCCCGCAACCCAGGCATGTGTCCTTGACCGGAACTGAACCAGGGACCCTTCAGTCTGCAGGCTGATGCTCTATCCACTGAGCCAAACCAGTTAGGGCAATCTTCTCCCACTTTTATTGTCATAATTAGGATTTGTGCCCCAGTTTATTTTCTTCAAACTTAATTATGTATTTTCGCCTGCCCTGCATGAAAGCTGTTTTTCTGGTTTAGAAAACGAGTTAACAGTGTATAAGATATACATTGCGGGGAAATGGGCCTCCGTGAGATGGTTATAGTTTGTTCCATGGCTATAGTGTGGCTTTTTCCTGATATCAGTTATCATATTTCCAAGAAGAGGATTGTTGCCCTGGTTGGGTAGCATCGTTCTGAGACACCATGGTTAGGGGTTCGATCCCCGGTCAGGGCACATACAAGAATCAACCAATAAATGCATAAATACATGAAGTAATAAATCAGTGTTTCTCTCTCTCTCTCTCTCTCTCTCTCTCTCTCTCTCTCTGAGTAAATGTATTAGAAAACAGTATATATGAAATTAAATCAAATAGTTGTTTCTTTAGAAAACCAATAAAACATAAACTGTGAGGACAAATGAGAGAAAACACAAGAAAAGAAATAATAGTAAACAACTAACAGTACATAAGTTCTTAAAAGAATCATAGGAATCTATTTTCCTCAACTCTATAGATAATTTGAAAACTTAAATTAATTAAATGGATAATATTTTTGGAAAGCATAAATTACCACAACTGATGCCAGAAGAGAGAGAATTTCAACAGACCAGTTAAATAGAAGAAATGTAGACAGTCATCTAAGAACTGCCTCCCCGAAGAAAAGCAGCTACTCCAAATAATTACACAAATAAATTCTATAAAAGCTTTTAGGAAAAATATCATCAGCGTTGGTTCACATGTTCTGTGACAGAATAAAAAGAAGTTTTAAAAAATGTGTTAATAAAGACAGCATAGCATTGATACCAAAATAGTACCAAGAAAGGAAATTAACAGACAAATCTCAATTATAAATATTGGTATAAAACCTTTAATTAAAAGTCTTCTTGAAATAATACACCAGAGCCTGACTGGTGTGGCTTAGTGGTTGAGCATCGATCTATGAAGCAGGAGGTCACAGGTGGATTCCAGGCAGGGCACAAACCCAAGTTGTGGGCTGTGCAGGAGATAGTCAATCAGTGCTTCTCTCTCATCATTGGTGTTTTTATCTGTCTCGCTCCCTCTCCCTTCCTCTGAAATCAATTTAAAAAATTTATTTTAAAAGGAAGGTTTTTTAAAAAAAGAAATAATACACCATAGCCAAGGAGACTTTATTTGAGAAATGTCAAATTAGGTTGCGTTGCCTGACTTCGTCTAAGAACATTAACCTCTGTGGGCTTCAGTAACTGTTTGACACCCCTGGTCTCATTTGAGAAGTTTCTGTTCTTCTAGCATTAAATAAAGGAGCCAATTGCTTTCTTACTACCTTTCAGACTCGGAGTGTGTGTGGATGACCAAAGAATTATCTCCAAATCAGGACATTTACGAAGAAAAATTATCCCAGGTAACGATAATGGGAAGACTTACAAGCTCTGATAACTTTGAGTGTTCCACATTAGGGGAAAACTGGAAAGGTGAAGACCTGTTTGAGAGGGACCTGGTAAGTAAGAAGCCACAGTTTAGGCAAGAGACGGTCAATCATATAGGTGCGCTCATTGAGAAAAAAGACCACTCTAACAAACCTGGGACAGCTTTTCATCTGAATACATTTTCTTATGTAAAACACATATTTCCCATTGAAGAGAGAACATACAATTTTGACACAGATAAGGAAAGCTTAAAAACACAGGCATTTGTTAAAAAACACAAGCAAGTCTGTGGAGGAAAGAAACTTCTGAAATGCAAAGACTGTGAGAAAACTTTCAGCAAAATCTCTACCCTGACTCTTCATCAAAGAATCCATACCGGAGAGAAACCCTATGAATGTATTGCGTGTGGAAAGGCCTTTAGCCAGAGTGCCCACCTAGCTCAACATCAGAGAACACACACGGGAGAAAAACCCTTTGAGTGCGCCGAGTGCAGGAAATCCTTTAGCCAGAATGCTCATCTTATTCAACACCAGCGAGTTCACACTGGGGAGAAGCCTTATCGGTGCCAGCGCTGCACCAAAGCCTTCAGCCAGCTTGCACACCTCGCTCAGCATCAGAGGGTCCACACAGGAGAGAAACCCTATGAGTGCATTGAGTGCGGGAAGGCGTTCAGCGATTGCTCCTCCCTGGCTCATCATCGAAGAATTCACACGGGAAAGAGGCCCTATGAATGCGCTGACTGTGGGAAAGCCTTCAGGCAGAATGCTTCTCTCATCCGCCACCGGAGGTACTATCACACCGGAGAGAAACCCTTTGGCTGCGCCAACTGTGGGAAGGCTTTTACAGACCACATCGGACTCATTCAGCATAAGAGAATTCACACCGGAGAGAGGCCTTACAAATGTGACACGTGTGGGAAGGCGTTCAGCCACGGCTCCTCCCTGACTGTACATCAGAGAATTCACACGGGAGAGAAACCATACGCGTGTGCGTTCTGCGAGAGAGCCTTCAGCCACCGCGGCTCTCTCACTCTTCACCAGAGAGTTCACACCGGGGAGAAACCCTACGAATGTCAGGAATGTGGGCAAGCGTTTCGGCAGAGCACACACCTGGCTCATCACCAGAGAGTTCACACCGGAGAGAAGCCTTATGAGTGTCAGGAGTGCGGCAAGGCCTTCAGCCAGAATGCACACCTCGCCCAGCATCGCAAAACACACACGGGAGAGAAGCCTTATGAGTGTGAGGAGTGCGGCCGGGCCTTCAGCCAGATCGTACACCTCGCCCAGCACCGGCGGGTTCACACGGGCGAGAAGCCTTACAAATGTACCGAATGCGGGAAGGCCTTCAGCGATGGCTCCTATCTGGTCCAACATCAGAGACTCCACACTGGGAAAAGACCATACGAATGCCTCGAGTGTGGGAAGGCATTCAGGCAGAGGGCGTACCTGATTTGTCACCAAAGGTGTCACACAGGTGAGAAGCCCTTTGAGTGTAATGTGTGCGGGAAAGCCTTCAGCCACCGCAAATCCCTTACTCTGCATCAGAGGGTTCATACGGGGGAGAAACCTTACGAGTGTCAGGAATGTAGCAAAGCCTTCAGCCAGGTAGCCCACCTGACGCTGCATCGGAGAATCCACACTGGAGAAAGGCCCTACGGGTGTGAGGAATGTGGGAAGGCCTTCCGGCAGAGCGTTCATCTCGCGTATCACCAGCGAATTCATACTGGAGAGTCCTCCTCCTCCTGCTCCTCCTCCTCCACTCGTCCCTCCTCCGCGCCCATGTGCCACCGAGTCCTCTAGTTCAGTCTCCCCAGGCCTCTAGAATCCACCCACACTCCCCAGTCTATGTCCCGTCAGCCTAATCCAGGACTTTTGCAAATAGCGTTACAGCCATTTTCCCTCTTGCTCCCCTCAAGTACATAGTTTTAACACTGTAGTCAGCTTAACCTCTTAAAAATTAAAATGTACTCATGTTACTTTCCATTCAAAACACAGATTTTGAAGACTATTAGGTGATCCATTTAAAGGGCTCAGCACATAATCCGTGGCACATAATTAGAGTAAAAGTTGCCTTACAGATATGTCCACCTACAAGGAAAAGGAACCAGTAGCTCAGGATTACGAAACCTGCAGTCTTCAGAGCAGACAGAGGGCTCTCAACTCTCCCTGTAGGTACGAAAAGTGAACACACCGGGAATTGAAGGAGTCTGTGATCCACAGGGTGACATGGCGGCTTACTGCTCCCTCTGTGTGAATAAATATGAGTAGCACTGATGATGATGAGGAGTGCTTCTCAGTGCACTTAGAAGTGAGAATAGGCCAATCAGGACAAAGTCGTTTGGTAGAATGGAGGACTAGCCAGGGGAGAGTATTGAACACAAACCCAAACAAGCTAGGAAACTCAAATAGATTCATAGCATGGAACAAACTGGAAGAGGTAGTTCAACGCTGTGACTGATTGAAATGCATCATGACAATTCCTGAGATATTGATATTGTTCTAGAGCAGCCGTGGGCAAACTACGGCCCGCGGGCCGGATCCGGCCCGTTTGAAATGAATAAAACTAAATAAAAAAAAGACCGTACCCTTTTATGTAATGATGTTTACTTTGAATTTATATGAGTTCACACAAACACTCCATCCATGCTTTTGTTCCGGCCCTCCAGTCCAGTTTAAGAACCCATTGTGGCCCTCGAGTCAAAAAGTTTGCCCACCCCTGTTCTAGAGCGTAAAATAAATATAAATCTTCCCATCTTGTTCTATGAAACTGAAGACTGATCCCAAAACAGAGAAACGTATACTGCAATCAGCGTATAAATGTACACGCTAAAATGTAAACTTATTTTTTAAAGGCAGACGTGTCTGTACAGAAAGACTCAGTCTGGCAAAGGTTTTTCTCCCCACGTTAAATATGTAAATTCACTGATGTTCCAGTAAAAGTCCCTGTGTATTGTAAAGGCAGCAATAGAATTATGATAAACAAGGAACGTAGTACTCGTTCCGCTAACCTTGATTGAGCACTTACTGTTTCAGATGCTGAGGACACACTAGGGTGCAAAATGTACAAAGAGTTTTTGCTCTTACAGATCAGGTGGGGGAAGACACGAAGAAGTGAAATACACAGTATCTGAGGAGTATGTGACATGTACCGTCATGAGAAATCTAGAGAAGGAGCTTGGGGCCTGGCTGGGTAGCTCAATTGGTTAGAGTGTCATCCCGACATGCCAGGGAGAGTGCAGGTTCGATCCCCGGTCAGGGCACGTACAAGATTCAATGAATGAATGCATAAATAAGTGGAACAGCACATCAATGTTTCTCTCTAAAAAAAACTAAATTTTTTTTAAAAAAGGGACGAGCTAGGGAGTTCTGGGAAGAATGCCCTTCCTACCCCTAGAACGTGTGGCAGTAGCGGCAGGGGAGGGGGGAGAGCAGCAGGAACTGTCAGACACAAAGGGAATAAGGAGAGCAGAGCAGTCGCGATGGCCCAAGGCAGAGAGTAGGACGCTTCAGTGCTGTGGGAAGAGAACCGATGCTGTGTTCACACATTAGCAACAGTGATTGAGAGGCAGGTGGCAGATGTGTTTCTGTAACAGCCTCATTGAGATGTAATTCACACACCATACAGTTCACCCACTTGAAGTACACGACGCATGGACGTGGTCAGAGTTGTGCAGCCATCGCCACAGTTGCTTTTAGAACACTTACTTCACCCCAAAAGCATGCCCGTGTCCTTTAGTAGTTCCCCCCGCCCTGGAGGAGTACTCTGAGCTCTCGGCTCCCTTGTGACTGCTGCAGTCCACTGGAGGGCCCTGTGAGGGGACCTCTTCCCTCTCTTTTCTTTTTTATTAATCCTCGCCCGAGGATTCCATCAACTTTCAGAGAGAGTGGAGGGGAGAAGGAGAGACAGAAGGAAACATCAATGTGAGAGAGACATCTGCACGTGCCCAGACCAGGGCCAGGGATCAGATTGAACCTGCAATGGAGGTACATGTGCTTGATGGAAATCGAGCCCCAGACCCTTCAGTCTGCAGGCCAGCGCTCTATCCACTGAGCCATACTGCTAGGGCGTGAGAAGCTCTCTTATCCAGAGGACATGGCCCCTCTACTTTGGCATAGAAACTAGGAGCACTGCATTCCTTGTTCTACAGGAGATGGGCGCGGGCTTCTCCCACCTGTGTGGAGGGTTCAGACCCTCCTTATATATGTGTGGTCAGAAGCATGCTCATTGCATTGGGAGAATTGGAGTGACACTGAGCTCTCCAGGGAGACCGAGATCTCTCCCTGGCACACTGACAAAGCTTGAAAGGTTAAAGATGTAAAGGTAAGATGTTAAGGTACCAGACAGAGTTAGAATATTCCTATCATCTTGCCCTGGGGCAGATCCTCTTAAGTATTGCGCACGACCCAGGAGCTGGTTTTTATGCGGAAAACATCAGAGTCAAAGTTAATAGACAAATGAGAGACCGAAAGGATATGTTTGCAACAAATGAAGGGTAATCCTCATATTCAGAGCACTGATACACCTCAGTCATAGTCACATCTGCAACTCGGTAGAAAAAGAAGCATTCTTCATTGCAGAGGGAGAAATGGACAAAGCTAACAGCCAGGTCAAAGAAGGTGAAATAAAACAGCTAATGAAAAATACACGATATCACTAGTAGGGAGAAAAATGCAAAATAAAGTGATGATATATCCACTTTTTCCCAATAGATAGATTTTAAATCACAGAAGAGTGATAATACTTGGTGAAAGTGTGAAAAGACAATTCCATGGTCAGTTATACAAGTTGTCATATGTATATATTATTTGAATCAAAATTCCTCAGAAACCAAAGTGTGCAAAGGTAGGTGAACATATGATGGCAAAAAATTTTTTTAAGTGGTAAATTATTAGGGTAATCAGCAGTGGTCGGCAAACTGCGGCTTGTGAGCCACATGAGACTCTTTGGCCCCTTGAGTGTGGCTCTTCCACAAAATACCAACGTCTGGGCCACGAAGTTTCAATCACACTGTACGTGCACACTCGCACGTGGTATTTTGTGGAAGAGCCACACTCAAGGGGCCAAAGAGCCGCATGTGGCTCGCAAGCCGCAGTTTGCCGACCCCTGGGATAATGGGTAAGTGGGTAAGTTAATTATTGTGTATTCATTCAATAGAATTATGCAGTTGTTTAAAAAAGAAATATAAGTGTGTATATAGGCATAGAGAAATAACTGTGCCATACTAAATGAAAAAAAATTTTCAGACCTATATTCTAGCATAAACTCATAATTGTGATATCAAAAATAAAACCTAAGTTATATATTTTTCTGTCTTTCTCTGCCTGTTTTTTCTTGCCCCCTTCTTACAATGACACCATCTCTCCTTTTGCGTAACTGGCCAGCCCTGCCGTATGGTTCTGATGGACCTGGCTGATCGAATTTTCTGGAAACACCTTAAAGGTGTGAGGCTGGTGCTCTTTGGAGCCACCTGGGCTTTGTGCTTTCCAAGGTTGTAATCCCTCAAACTACCCATCATCCTTCCAGCACTTCATTTCTGGCTCATATTCCTCACTTTACAGCAAGTAAACAAACTTAATATACTAGAAGAATCTGGTAGGAAGATGGGGGAATAGGCAATAGGATCTTTGGGAACTTTGAGGTGTGAGGATTGGTTTGGGTTTGAGAAGGGGGAAGTGAGACTTCTGCTTCTTTTCTAGCCTCGGGAAGTCACACCTCCTGGTGTGGGCCCTGGGCAGATATCCGAGTGAGTTATTTTTCGTGGGAGTAGCCTGAGAGGAACAGAGGTCGAGGATCCTGGATAGTGACAGTTTTAAGAGGAAAAGGAACGCTAGTCCAGAGAGTGTAACTGATGCTGGTACCTCACTGCTCTGAGTAGTTTAAACGCAGCTCATGAACTTCTAGTGTCAAGGCAAAAAATTTCAGCTCAGGGTTCTGTGTGATGTGGCTGGGAGATCCTTACACTGTTTGAAGTCACAGGATTAAGGCTGCTCGAGCGATGGCCGGGTAGTCAGGTGGTTAGAGCTTCACCTCAGTACACCAAGGTTGCAGGTTCGATCTCTGGTCCGGGCACATACAAGAATCTACCAATAAATGCATACATAAATGGAACAGAAAATTGATGTATGTCTCTCTCTCTCTCTTTCTCTCTCTCTCTCAAAAAAGAAAAAAATTACTCTCCCACATCCCCCAACCCAAGGTAACCATCATACTGAATCCTGACACATCTGTCTCCCGTTTTCCCTTTTTTGGGGGGAGGGGGGGATGTACATCATTTTCCTACAGAAATGGTTTATAGATTCTGTTAATAGTTACAGTCAGGTTGTAGTCAGGCCCTGCCGTCCTAAGAGCCAAGGCTGCCTCTTAAAAATGACGGTGCAGTTTTTGCCCTCGTCTACTTCATTTCATGCTCCTCACAGCCCAGAGAGCTTTGTTTCTAGGCAACAGCAGGGCGGATGGGTTCTTTGAAGACGTCAGAGAGAGAGAGAGCTGTGCATTCTGCCTAGAGAGTCAGCAATACAGACGGTTCCCCCAATGAGGTTCAGCGTCATGGCCAGGTCTGTGGGGAAAGGGTTCAGCACCACGGACAGTTCAGGCAAAAAATTCTGACATTGGTTTCAGCACCATGGACAGGTCCGGGGGGGGCGGCTCGGTCTGCCTGGCTTGGCTCAACAGGCAGGTCTGTCTGAAAAGGGATTTCAGCACCACGGACAGTGTATAGATGGGGAAAGGGGTGGCACCACCACAGACAAGGTCGATCCCAAAGAGGGTTCAGCGCCCTGGCCAGGTCTAGGGGGGAAGGGTTTCAGCACCGTACACAAGAGCCTTGGGAATGTGTTTCAGCCTTGCGGACAGGGCCGTGTGCTTCAGAACCATGGACAATTCAGCAGACCCCCCCCCCTCCCGCTAGACAGGCCTATGGGGAGGTTTCAGCACCACGGGCAGGTCTATGGGGGTGGTTTCAGCACCACGGACAGGTCTATGGGATGTGGTTCAGCACCACGGACAGGTCTATGAGGAAGTGGTCTCAGCACCACGGGACAGGCCTATGGGGAAAGTGGTTTCAGCACCACGGACAGGTCTATGAGGAGAGTGGTTTCAGCACCACGGACAGGTCTATGGGAGTGGTTTCAGCACCACGGACAGGCCTATGAGGAAAGTGGTTTCAGCACCACGGACAGCTCTATGGGGGTGTTTCAGCACCACGGACAGGTCTATGAGGAACGTGGTTTCAGCACCACGGACAGGTTTGTGGGCCGTGGTTTCAGCACCACGGACAGGGCTTAAAAAGTACATGCAGGCCTATCTGTATGGCGTTCAGCACCGCGGACAGCGCGCCAGTGCCCTGCTTTCCCAGGGGCCTCTGTAGCTGCCTGTGCTCTTCTGAGCAGATTCCTGACCCCACTTCCCACCCTCACCCCAGAGTCTCTGAATGCTGGCATCTCAGCCGTCCAGGCTCTCCTGGTGTGAACCTCAGAAGCACAGGCACCAAATGCTTACCATGCCCCAGAGGGAATCCTGGTTTTCTCCATACTCACACAAAAAACTCGACCCTGCTCAGTGCCCTGCTGGACACTCGGC